AAATCCAGTCGAGCAACTTCAAACAGATGAGTTGCACAAGCAGCTTCAGAAGCTCGAATAGGCCCCAAAGAAATTAGGGTTTTTGAAACCAATCGAATTCAAAGATGACGAACAAGTAAATCACACAACAAATAGTCTTAGAAACTCGAATGAACCCAAACTTAGGGTTTTCAACACCAATCGAGTCTAGGGATGAAAAACAAATAAATCAAACAAATATTAACAAAAAAATAGATTCAGAAACCTCAAAAGAAATTAAGGCTTTTAACATGCAAACTCCAGTCGAAGAACGACATAAGGAAACATAGCAGAACATGTCAAAAATCAGAGAAAGCTTCGGAATAACTTAGCAAAAACCCTAACCGGAAAAGATAAGGGGTTTTGAAGGTAGAGTTTTAGAAAAAACTTTGAGAAAAACGTTTAGAAGTTTGGAGCAAACACAGATCTAAAACAAATCGGAAGAACCTTAAAGGTTAGGGTTTTAGAAGAACCCCAAGTGGTGAGAAAGGCTTTGAAAACCATCGATCTAAACAGGAGAGTCAAGAATCAGACTCAGAAAGGTCAGAGACGACCGAAGAACAGTCATAAACTGAAAACGACCAAGGTCTGGACCAAACTTTTCCAGGATCTAACCTTGAAACCATGATAACCGGGCATGTAGAATCCATAGGAGGTGGATACAGGCCTCCGATGACCTTGGAAACCATTGATTTGGGAGATTTTAGGGTTGTAGTTGAGGGCGGCGGCTAGGGTTTGAGAGGGGTTTGAGAGAGAATTGAGAGAGAAGGGGATTCAGAGGCGGCGGAGTGTATGAAAATGGGGTTAGGGTTAGGGGTCGTTTGAATTAAAAAAGGTAAGGATTGTTGTTGGCCGTTGATCTGAATGATCTACGGCCTGGATTAAAGCCGGCGAGTGGGTGGGTTATGAAGACGGGCTTGGGTCGGATTAAACGGGGATTGGGTGAGGGTAATTGGGCCTCAGATTGGGTTTAATTGGGGTGCCAAATCAGGCTAAAATTGAAATGAAAATGGGCTAACGTTTAAATAGCTACTTTTCCCTATTTGATTTATAAAAATAGTAAAATAATTTCTGGAAATAAATTAAAGGTACTAAAATGACTAATAGTACATAATTATCAAATTAAAAATATTGGACTTAATTATTATAGATATAAACGTAATTAAATCTAAAAGAGGCTAATATTGCAATTATATGCAATTTAGCTTTAAAAATACTAAATAAATTTGTAAAAATATGTAAAAATTATCTTTGCTATATTTTAGAATAAATATGAGAATCCAATAAATGAATTACCAAAATGATAATTTTGGAAATAATTATTGGGTTTTTCTGGATAAAATAAGGCAATAAATTGATTTAAAAAAATCTTTAAAAATTAAGAAAAAATAGTAAAATATTTGGACATACTTATATATGCATGCACATGCTATTTTGAAAGTATTTTGCATATTAAAAATATATAGGAAAAAATTGGGTATCAACAACTGGTATGACTGAACCTGTTGCAGGCCTCTGATCTCGCAATTACGAGGTCAGGCATCGCAATTGCGAACCCCAACAGGTTTCGCTTTTGCGAGGCTTTTATCGCAATTGCGATAATAAGGTGGGTCAGGCAGTCCTCGCAATTGCGAAGTAAATTTGGGTAGGGTTAGTGATCGCAAAAGCGATCGTTTTATCGCATTTGCGGAGGTACCTGTTCGCAATTGCGAACATACCTTCGCAATTGCGAAGGCAGCAGAAGTGTGAGGAACTTTGCATTTGCGATGATTCTTCGCTATTGCGAAGCTCAGGGTCGCAAATGCGACATCTGCAGCTGTTCAAAACATAATTTAGACGGGATTTTCTCCCTTTCTTCACATTTTTCAAAACCTAAACTTCAAGAAGCGACTTTCCTAGGGCAAGTTCATCCCCTTATCATAGGTAAATAATTCTTAACTTATTTCTTTCAATCTATTTCATCCTTTTACAAAATTTCATCCTAGAATCTAGGGATTTTCACGGTGAAATTGGGTGTTTTTGGGTAGAACTTAGGAATTTCAAAATTTGGGGATTTAGACCTCAAATTGAGGTGGGATTCCAAAACCAATAGTATATCCGGGCTCGAGGTTGAATGGATAATCCGGTTTTGGTCCGAATTTTGGATTTTGACCAAGCAAACCCGGGTTCAATTTTTAACTTTTTGGGGAAAATGTTGAGAAATCTATAATTATGCTTTGGAATTGGTTTGTTTAGCGTTAGTTGATGTTATTAAGTTAATGATGATTAAATACGAGCGAATTGGAAGTGGAAACTAAGGAAAAAACGATATTTGAGGCTTGAGTTTGGCCGTGGAAACGAGTTAAGTGTTGTGGCTAACCTTAGCATGAGGGATTAGGTGTTGTTGCCTTATTTGCTATGTGTTTAGTTGTTGAGTACGACGTATAGGTGAGGTGACGAGTATCTATACGTTGTTGTCATGTCATAGCATGCGAGTGAGTCTTATACTTGTGACTGTTGTATTCCTTTATACGTACTATTCATGCTTTAACTGGTTAAATCTTCATGTTAAGCAAGTTTTATTATGTTTTTTCCCCGTTTTGGATATTGCTTGAGTATTGACCCAAGTTGAGATTTATATCATGAAGTCAAATGATGAAACGAGATTGTTTATTTATGATTCCCTTGCCGGGTTGTTATTGTTTCTGCTGTTTGGGTGAGGAAGAGTTTAAAGCACGAAGGGTAATGTCGGCAATGTTTTGTGAGTGAGTGATAAAGCACGAAGGGTGATGCCGTGCCGTATTTTGATATTGATAATGCACGAAGGGTGATGCCATGCCATGTTATGAGAGAGTTAATGCACAGAGGGTGATGCCACGCCGTTTCTGTTGTCTCTTATGGTGAGGACGAGAGTAAAAGTACGAAGAGTGATGTCGTGCACATGTTTGTTATGTTATTATTTCAGTTGGTTCAAGCATGACAATTACTTCGGTACTGTATAATTTTCAGAATTTGATATTCCCCTCAGCATGTTCCCCTTCCCGTTATTACCTGTTAAATTTCTGTTATTGTTAATTCTTCGTATATGATTTATCTGCACAGGTTCATGTTATTGGTCGCGTATTAGCCTTGTCACTACTTCGCCGTGGTTAGGCTCGGCACTTACCAGTACATGGGGTCGGTTGTACTGAAACTGTACTCTGCACCTTATGTGCAGATTTCGGTGTCGGACCTCGTGATTAGAGTTGGGTTGCTGCCTTCAGTCCATCAGGAGACCCAAGGTAGATCTGCTGGCGTCCGCAGACCCTGAAATCCCCTTCCATCTATCTTAGCTTTATTCATGTTTTCTTTCATTCCGAGAACAGATGTATTTTTTTTAAGGCGGTATTTGTGGAAATTCTTAGACGTTTGTGGATTGTGACACCAGATCTTTTGGGTAGTCGTGTGTTAGTGTTTTAAATTGTTATAAAATTACTGCATTTCTTTAATTGTTTTGTTTAAGTTATTATTAATTACTGTTTTTGTTAATGATTAGCGTAATAGAATTGTATCTGTTGGCTTGCCTAGCATTCTAAGAGTTAGGCGCCGTTACGATCCCGACGGCGGGAAATCCGGATCGTGACAGTGTAATTACATTTAACATTAGTGTACATAATTAATTATGGATATAGTATTTTCTCCTTAACCTCAGATATCTATCGTTTGACGGACGAAATCTGTGAGCAACAATAAATAACTGCAGCATACAGATACAGAGAGACATAAATAGATGACAGTTGTCCTTTCGACCCTAACAAATGATTCAGTAACAATTGATAAGACTTGTCGAGTTATATATACTAATATTTTTTTCAATTAAAGAAACCTAGGTGGAAATTAAAGACCAAATTAAAGAACCTTCTGGAAGCAATGAAGGTATCAGGAATTAACGCAAATATTAATGGCGACTTGGCCAGTCACAACTTACTACCTTTTCTGGAAGAACCCTGAGCCATGAACCCTGAACTAATAAAAATAGAATCAAGAAAAATAAAAAATGGGAGGACTTTTGGTAATATCGAAGTTCAATTTGGCTGTCACTTTATTCTTGCTCGACTAGTTCAGATTTCTGCTAGGAGGACTAATTAAAGTTAGTACTAAAACATATCTTATTAGAAAAAAATTCATTCTCAAAATTCAAACCTAAAACCTATAGTTAAAGATGGATACAACTATCTCATCATGTTCCTTAATAATATATTATAAGATAATGGGTATACTATATGCAAGTATTTTATTTATGAATCAAGTGCAAGCCTTAAAACAAACAAAAAGATTAGTATGCATTTAGGTTCACATGGGTAAATAAAAGTAAAAAAAAAAAGGTGTAGTGGTACTAGTAATTAATAGCAGCAAGTCAACAACAATATTAACGATAGGAGAGTAGTATTCGCAAAGCCATGCCGTCACGCTTGCCTACTCCAAGAAGGCTCACCAAATTCACAACTCCAATTTCCCAAAAAACACCACTCATTCAAAGTAGCAAATTTCTATCTTTTTACACCTACTACCATCTACATAATTCATCATTAGACTAGTACCATAAAATGTCTCTTTTTTCAATTATTTATGAGGTGAAAACACGAAAATATTATTAAATAAACATAAGAAATAATTAAAAAAAAAAAAACAATATTGAATACACTAGCTCACTTGGTGAGCTCCTGCCTTCAATTATTGATGTGAAGGGTTCAAACTCCATTAGTAGCGTAGGATTTCCTTCCCTCCTTGATTAATAAAAAGAATTATAAAAAAAAAAGGTTAAACTTAACTATATTGTAAAGAAAATTAGGCCATATTGATGTGTATAAACTAATAAAACCAAACAAAATAGTATATCATACTTATCTATCCACTAGAAATGTGCCCACTTATTTCGTCATGACAAAAGGTCAACCAAGCTCATAGTCAAACCACTAGACTAGTAACCCTTATAAATTCCACATGGGCATGAGTTCCTCAATTCCATTCTATCTTTTCCAACCTAAACCAACTCTTCATCTTTTTTACAATCAAATTCAAGAAAATCCCTCAAAAACTTATCATTTTCTCAACCTCGCATGAAACGATGGTGGTTTATCCAATGAAGAGAGAAAGAGAAAGCGAATTTGATAGCATAATAACCATGGCTAATTACTTGATGCTTCTTTCTCGCCAAGAAAATCACAATTTTGAGACGATCAACAATTCTCCCAGTCGAGTTTTCGAGTGTAAAACTTGCAATAGACAATTTTCTTCATTCCAAGCTCTTGGAGGTCATAGAGCAAGTCATAAAAAGCCAAGATTAATGGGAGAATTGAATTATCATCAGTTGCCAACTTCTCCTCCTAAACCAAAAACACATGAGTGTTCAATTTGTGGGCTTGAGTTTCCTATAGGCCAAGCTTTAGGTGGGCATATGAGAAGGCATAGGGCTATGTTGAATGAAAATATTCATGTTGTAAAGAAATCAAAGAGTCCAAGAGTTTTATGTTTGGATTTGAACTTGACACCATTGGAGAATGATTTAGAGTTCAAGTTGAAGGAAACGGTTCTGTAGTTGATTGTTTTTTGTGATTAAATACTAGGGGAGACGAGATACAGATGTAAGTTGGATTATGCAGGTTCAATTGAATTCATTATTTTGATTTGTACTATGTAAATATATAAATTTAAAAGGTGTACATATATTAAAATTATACTCGTTCTAAATGTAAGACTCTAGATTCTGGATTCACCTATATATAGATATGTACTAGACGTACTAGACAAATAAATAGTATCAAGACGTCTAGCATACTAACTCTAAAGTAACTTTTGCAAAAATTACTCTTCAAATGAACAGATTTTGAAGGTTATTTGGGCAAACATGTTGAAAGAGAAGAGGGTAAAAGAGAAAAGTGTCATTGATAAGATTGGTACCTTGTATTTCACTATAGTATTGGCAAGTGGCTATAGGTCTGCCACTAATGACTTATTCTACAATGGTGCAATCTAAAATTACAAATACTAAACTATCACTATTTGCTATTCCATAGAACTCGGTTCATTGGGGATTAGTTTAATTTTAGTACGACCAGCTTCTTCCTTGAACCTGTCAATCATTTTCATCCTTTTTCCAATTCCAAACCAACAGATTAGTAGATGTGGCTCCACCCCATCTGAGTTCTGACCTAAATATGTTGTTCAGATTTTTTAAAATTGTTGTCGAATCGGAGTCTCCAAAATTAATGCATTTTTTGAGGATTCGAAACGAATGAGATAACATTTTAAAAAGCCCAAGCAACATAAGTTCTGACGATTCGGTTGAAATGGAGGATATCTCACCAATTAACTCGATTGTGTTATTATCCTTTTCCATACTTAATCAATGTAAGCAGCCTCAGATATACGTCTCTTCCCTTATTTGTTTTGTTAGTTTTATTACACGATATAAATGATATAGCTTGTATAGTATACATATGGCTACACCCTTTATGAAATTAATCTCAAAACTGCTTTCTCTTGAGGGGTTGGGGACGATTTCTATTATCCCGTGTTGAGTCCCGAATCGATGGGATGTGGACGTCTATGCGTCTTTTTATATGATCTCGGAAAATCTTCACCTCATCAATAGTTTTTGGGATTGGTTTAGGCCCGAACTTCATTTTCTATCATCCCTATTCCCACCCTCCTCGTTTGAATGTGAACTGTATATAAACTTCTTGCTCTTGTAAGACTGTCAAAAGAAAAGAAAATTTACGCAGCCAAGCATTAAGCACCAATCACGGGTCAAATATGCAAAACCATCACAAGAGTTGTTGTGAATAATGATCACGCCCAACTATACCCTCTAAAAAGGACTCTGCGGACGTTGCAAATATAACCCGAGTATTATGCCCAGGGTCGAATCCACAGAGAGTTAACCTATCAATCACTATCTTTAAACCCACTAAACTCTTCAGAACCAGTTTCCCAGATGTTTGAATTACAGTTGAAGGTCGCTTTACTAACTACGATTGCAAGTAAATTAAACAGCTGTAAATTAAAATGCTAAGGTTGTAAACAATGATGAGAAGAAGCTAAGGCAATGATTTCCCCTATTGAAGGAATCCCTTCTGTTTATGCTCATACAAATTTACCAACACATCTCTATCAATCATGAACGCTCATCTTACCGTAAATCTCTCCCGATTAATCACAGTAACATACTAATTGCACTCTCCCGAGATACACTAGCTTACTTTATTTAGCACAATTCACTTTAGATTACACCCAAGGCTTCGTTATCCCTAATCCCGCCTTTAAACCCGCGATTATAGATTCCTCTTATACTTTGGGAGTGGTGTTGTTCAACAATAACCTAAATATGCACTCTTTTCCAAGTTATGCACACTAAATAGGCACAGCTAATTGAGGATCCTGTCAATTAACTACAACAAGCACAAAGTTGAACAAATAGAGATTGAAACTAGCAATTTATATTCACATAAACAAGATGTTCATCCCCCAATAGGTTCTATCAAAGCCTTAGACAAAGGATTTAGCTACTCATGGCTATGGGAAAACAAACTAAGATAGAATTCATTATAACTAGCAATAAAAATCAAAGAAAAGAAGAAAGATGTTTTGGGTGATCTCTCACAATTGTTTTCCTTGCCAAGATACTCTAAAATTCAATACATGCCTCTCTTGGGCGAAGTCTTGTATTTAACATAGGGTTTAGGTCTAAAAATCCCGTGTTTTACACTTTAGTCCCTCAAGTTTTCTGCTTCCGCCGCGGTTCTGCCGCTGTCGCGGTCAAACCGCGGCCAAATGCCTTCTCTGATTCTCAATTTATCCGCAGCTACCTTCCACCGCGGTGGAACTGCGGTCACACCAGTTCTCTGAATCTTCAGGCCTGTTTTGCGTGGTTTACTTGGGGAATTTCACAGTTGGCCTCTTTTTCTTCATTTTTGACTCCAAAAATACTCCCTACCCTTCCCGGATCATATATCACCTGCAAATCATGAAAAACACTAATAAGAGCATTTTGTTATCACTTTTATCATCAAAACTATACAAGAAGGTGGTTATTTAAGGCGTAATTATAGTTAAATTCACCTATTATCACTTTTATCGATGAATTTTTCAGAACATTTTAGAAAGTGCACGAAAGGAAAAAATGTCACGGGAACAAGGTGTAATGAGCTTTCCTTTTAATTTTTATTTTTTGAAATAAAGGCGAACCCCTTGACAATTTTTTTTGGCAAATCATTTACTGATAATCACACGTCAAAAAATAATTTTATCATGAAAATATTTTCTTATAAATTAAAATGACTTTCATCATATCAAATAAGGTTTAAGGGAGATGACGTAATTGACTTTTAAGTTATACTTATTCATATCGGGTGTTTACACCAAACCAATAGATATATGACATATGTTTTGCATATGGACTTCAATCATTTAGCCATGATAAATTAAATGCATTCTCATCTAATTAAATTAATTACCCTAGTGAGTTAATATAATTTGTAATGTGCGAAAGTTCGTACATTAAAAGACGTGATTAATGTATAAAGTGACTATTACCTGATTTTTGTAGTACACATTTTGGTCTAATGCAAATTCTACTTTAGCCTGAGAACTGCCTGTGAAGCTTAATAATCAATTGGATGTAATACGGAAAAGGGATGGGACGATCATGTCTTACAAGGACAATGTACCTAATATTGTACTCGCCCTTAATTAGTACTTGTAAATTGAATTACACGACGACTTAGCTAGCGTTTGGATTTAAATTTGGTTGAAACTCGAAAAAAGAGTTTTTGAAAATTGAAGTCATATTTGGACATGTATTTTATTTGAAAATAATTTGAAGTTTTGTGAGTAGATTTTTTTTTTTTTTTTTGAAAAAACAGCCAAAGTCTATGGCCAACGGGAGCTTAGTGTCTTGATGTGATGATAATCTGTTTTATGCACAACCACTTGCAGACTTAGTCTGAATTTGTTTGTCGGGAATCAATTTCCTAGGACAGGACGATAGGTTAAAAGAATGAGCTAACAACAGATCCCACAGGTACAAGACTCATTAAACAACATACTCAAAACGGTCCCTCGAACCACAAGTACTGAAGTACCAATTCAAACACCTAGTACTAATTAAGATGAGTTTAATAATTTAGAACACCATAACTTAAAAATATTAGAATTCTGAACCCATTAACTCAAATTTCTGATTCTATGATGTGTGGCTATAATTCATGGTTTTTGCACATTATATGCTTTGCGTTTTACATGCTTTAATGTTAAAATACACTTTGTTTGAGCGTAATGAAGGCTATTTTATGTGTAGGTGCATCGGTAATGAAAGTAGAGCTAAAGGGATGCTTAAATGTCGAAAGGGCGCTCGAGAACGGTGAAAAGGAGAAGCCGGGCAAAAGCCAGCTCGACCAGGCTTTATCCAGGTGAGGCCAGCTTAAAGCCAGGCCTAACCAGGCTTTATCCAGGTGAGGCCAGTTTAAGGTCAGGCCTAGGCAGGCTTTATCCAGGCGAGGCCAGCTTAAAGCCAGGCCTAAGGCCAGACCCAATCCGAGTTTTGAAGGTTTTTATTGTTTCCCGGTTTGACTAGGAGTTGACCTACACGTTTAGGGCTTGTCCCAAACATATAAATAGACCCAAAAACGCCACTTTGAAAGACTTGAGACAGAAGGAGAGGGAGATCGAGTTTGGATACAACTTTAGACCTAGGAAGAGCACAGAGCCGTCGTGGAGACCGGAGATTCGACCTAAGGAGGCAAGAACACACTAGGAGCAAGACGGAGAATTCTTCTACGAGTTTTTCACTTTCTTCTTCCTATTTCTATTATTGGTTATGAATTCTAGTATTGTAGTTATGCATACTATTATGAATAGCTAATTTGTTATCTAGGGTTTTGATGGAACCTATTGGAGGATGATTTTCCTGTTACGTTAATATAGATTTGCTGTAACTTTTTCTCTATTTGTTTAACTACGTTATTATTGTGGTTGGTTGAACATCTCTCAATCGACTGTGCCTATTTAGTGTGTATTACTCGGGAGAGAATGCATATTTAGGTAGTTGTTGAACAACATCACTCCTAACGTATATGAGGGATCAATACGAAGGGTTTAAATGTGGGATTAGGGATAACGAAGCTTTGGGTGCGATCCGAGTGAGCCCTACTTAATGCCAGCTAGCGTAATTCGGGAGAATATGTCTAGTAAATTGTGGTAATTACTCGGGAGAGAGTTACGACAGTCAGAGCGCTCATGATCGGTAGAGAATACTTAGGCGAATTTATAAAAACATAGCGGGAAGGATTNTGAGTTGGAGTTCAGGGTGATTTGGTCACGTATCCAGGTTGGTCGCCCCTCTGCGCAGAGTATATCAGTCATGACCTCCCATGTGACCCCTGGCCTATCGTGGTAGTAATCGATGTCACTAATGAACTGAGGCAGCCGCAACACCTGGCGAATCATGGGAATTGTGGCGCTTACCACCTTGCCTCGCACAATCACCTCCCTACTTAAGTTCAATGGGCAGTTGGCATAAAACTCCCTAACAAGCATCTTGTTGACCGGGGTAGGGTCATCAAATAAGAATTCCATTTCCCTCCTCCGAATTTCTTCATACATCTCTGCCTTTTCTACGCGGAGGGCTTCCCGGTCAAGCGAGATCTCATGGATGAAGTTCTTCGTAGCCTTGGCATTAAAGTCGTCCTCCG